TCTGGAGGTAGACCACATGTTGCTTCATGCTGGTTGGGACTTCCGGCCGCCTCTCTCTGAGCAGTCTTGAGGAGCTGGTGGGGGATCTCAGTGACAGTGCTAAGAGGGAGACTGGACTAGGGCAGCACTGGGCTCCAGAACCTCTTGGGTTTATTCCAGTCTGAGCAGAAAGACACTTGTTTGAATGGCTAGTTCTGTTATGTCTGCTAAAGAATTAGTTCTGTGGTCAACTGCACTGCAAGATATGCTCACAGAAATAAAGCTTATTTGATTGTCAACTGTATCAGGAATTAGAGTGACTACAAATAACAGGAATACAAGGAAGACCAGTTAATACTACTGTTATTCAAATTCATGCTTCTGCAGTCTGAAATTGACCAAAAAGGCAATCAAAATGTATTGATCATTACTGGTGACTGGAATGCAAAAGTTGGAAACTAAGAAGAAGCATCGGTAGTTGGAAAATATGGCCTTGATGACAGAAATGATGCCAGAGATTACATGGTAAAATTTTTCAAGACCAGTGACTTGTTCACTGCAAATATATTTTTTCAGCAACATAAATGGTGACTGTACACATGGACTTCCCCAGGTGAAATACACAGGAATCAGATCAACTACATCTGTGGAAAGAGGTGATGGAGAAACTCAATCATCAGTCAAAACAAGGCCAGGAGCTGACTGTGAAACAGACCATCAATTACTCATATGCGCAAGTTGCAGCTGAAGAAAATTAAAAAACAAGTCCCCAGGAGCCAAAATATGACCTTGATTATATCCCACCCAAATTTAGAGACCATCTAAAGGGTAGATCTGACACGTTGAACACCAAAGACCAGATGAGTTGTTGGATGACATCAAGACATCATCCATGAAGAAAGCAAAAGGTCATTAAAAAGACAGGAAAGGAAGAAAAGACCAAAATGGATGTCAGAAGGGACTCTGAAACTTGCTCTTGAACAGAGAGTATCTAAAGCAAATGGAAGAAATGATTAAATAAAAGAGCTGAACAGATTTCAAAGGGTAGCTCGAGAAGACAAAGTACAGTGTTATAATGAAATGTGCAAAGACCTGGCATTAGAAAACCAAAAGAGAAGAGCATGCTCAGCGTTTTTCAAGCTGAAATAACTGAAGAAAAACATTAAGCATTGAATTGCAGTGTTGAAGGATTCTATGGGCAAAATATTGAAAAATGCAGGAAATAATCAAAAGAAGGTGGAAGGAATACACAGAGTCACTGTACCAAAAATAATTGGTCAGTGTTCACACATTTCAGGAGGTAGCATATGATCAAGAACCAATGGGGTCGAAGGAGGAAATCCAACCTGCACTAAAAGAATTAGTGAGAAACAAATTTCCAGGAATTGATGGAATACCCACTGAGATGTTTCAACAAATGGATGCAGCACTGGAGGCACTTACTTGTTTATGCCAAGAAATATGGAAGACAGCTACCTGGCCAACCAACTGCAAGAGATAGATATTTGTACCCATTCCAAAGAAAGGTGATCCAACAGAATGTGGAAATTACTGAACAGTATCATTAATATCACACACAAGTAAAATTTTGCTGAAGATAATTTAAAAATGGTTGTAGAGGTATATTGACAGGAAACTTCCAGAAATGCAAGCTGGATTCAGAAGAGGATGTGAAACAAGGAATATGATTGCAGATGTCAGATGGATCTTGGCTGAAAGCAAAGAATATCAGAAAGATGTTTACCTGTATTTTATTGACTATGCAAAGGCAGTTGACCATGTGGATCATAACAAATTATGGATAACATTGTGAAGGATGGGAATTCCAGAACACTTGATTTTGCTCATGAGGAACCTGTACATAGACCAAACAGAACAAGAGGATATTTAAAATCAGGAATAGTGTGTGTCAGGGTTATATCCTTTCACCATACTTATTCAATCTGTATGTTGAGCACATAATCCAAAAAGCTAGACTATATGAAGAAGAATGTGGCATCAGGACTGGAGGAAGACTCATTAACCATCTGCAATATGCAGATAACACAATCTTGCTTGCTAAAAGTAAAAAAGACTTGCAGCACTTACTGATGAACATTAAAAACTACAGTCTTCAGTGTGGATTACACCTCAACATAAAGAATTCTTTTTTTCACAACTGAATGAGTAAGCAACATCATAATAAATGGACAAAAGGTTCAAGTAGTCAGGGATTTCATTTTACTTGGAGCCACAATCAGCACTCATGGAAGCAGCAGTCAAGAAATCAGATGTCGTATTGCACTGGGCAAATGTGCTACAAAATACCTCTTTAAAGTGTTTAAGAGCAAAAGTGTCACTTTAAAGACTAAGGTACATCTGACCCAAGCCATAGTATTTCCAGTGCTTCATATGCATGTGAGACCTGGACACTAAATAAGGAAGACCACAGAAGAATTGATTCTTTGGAATTGTGGTGTTAGTTAAGTATATTGAAGGTACTAAGCTAGAAGAATGAACAAATCTTTCTTGGAGGAAGTACAGACAGACTGTAGTTTGGAAGTGAGAATGACTAGACTTCGTGTTTCATACTTTGCTCATGTTGTGAGAAGGGACCGATCCCTGGAGAAGTTTATCATGCTGAGTAGAGAGAAAGTCAGCAAAAAAAGGGGAAGACCCCCAACGAGATAGATTGACACAGAGGCTACAGTGATGGGCTCAAGCGTAGCAAGGATTGTGAGGATGGTACAGGACCAGGCAGCGTTTCATTCTGTTGTACATAGGGTTGCTCTGGATTGGAAGTGACTCGACGGCTCCTCACAACAACAACACAAATAGCAGAAAATTGTACTACAGTTGTATAAGGATGTTGTTGTGTGTTGTCAAGTTGATTCTGAATCATAGCAATGGTGGTGCAGCAGTTAAGTGCTTGGTTGCTAACCAAAAGGTTGATTGTTTGAACCCATCCATTGGCTCCATGGGAGAAAAGACCTGGTGATTTACTCCCATAAGGATTTCTGCCTAGGAAACCCTATGTGGGTCAGTTATACTGTGTCCTATAGAGTCACTATGAATTGTTGTTAGTTGCCATCAAGTTGGTCCCTGATTCAAAGTGTGGCCCCATGTACAACTGAATGCTGCCTGATTATGTGCTAGCCCCGTGATCAATAACGGATTGCACCACTGTGATCCATAGTGTTTTCATTGGGTAGTTTTTGGAAGTAAATCTTCTGGCCTTTCTTCCTAGTCCTTCTTAGTCTGAAACGTGTTCCACATCATAGCAACATACAAGCTTCCACTGCCATGAGTGGTGGCTGCACTTGAGGTAGGTTGGCCAGAAATCAAACCCTGACTCTCTCACATGGAAGGTGAGAATTGTACCACTGAGCTACTACTGTCCCCGTAGATAAATAGAGATAGATTTATGTATTTCATGCAACAAAAATATCAGAATAGGCAGTTCACAGGTAGTGGGGTGGCTCCACAAGCTATCAAGTTCCTAGGCTTGTCCTTTGGGATGTCGCCATCGGTGGAGCCAGTCAGGCTAGTCACCTTGTGGCTGCAAAATGGCTGCTGCATCTCCAGGCACAACCTACTGTGGTGGTTAAGGTTATATGTCAGCTGGGCCTGGTTGAGTGGCTGGGCAGCGGGATGTAGTATTCCCCATGATGAGACTGGTAACCAACTCCATGGTGGAATCTACTATGAGCAGCTGAGTAGCTGCCTTAGGGATGTGGTCTGCTTCCAGTATATAAGGAGATGATTTAGGAGTGGTCTGTAGTTTTTTGGCGTGCTTAAACCCTGCATGTAGCCAAGGCATTATTCAGCAGCCTGCTGTGCTCTGCCGATCTTGGGACTTTTTCTGGACTTGAATTAGTGGCCTGGCGTGTTGTTTGGTAGTATTAGGACTGTCTTTTTACTCGCTGACCTTGGGTTTGTCAGCCTTAGCAGCCAGCAGCTGCCTGAGTAAAGAAAAGCCTCTAGCTTCAGTGGGCCAGGAGCAGGAGGCAGAAGCCCAAGGTTGAGGGGCTTTCACCCAGCCCCTAGAGCCTAGCACTTTGAACTTGGACTTAATAGCCTCTAAAACTGTATGAGAATAAACTCCTGTTTGTTAAAGCCATCCATCTGTGGTATTTTCTGTTAGAGCAGCATGAAGTAGCCAAAATACCTCTGTATTCCAGAAATACAAAGAAATAGGAAAGGCCAGTGCCTTTATCAGGAAAGCAGGTGTTCCCAGGAAACCTCACCTTGCTTTTCATTGACCAAAATTGTATCATGTGGCTACTCCTAGCTGCAAAGGAGTCTGATGAAATAAGAATTTTTAGCAAGGTTTGGTTGGCAGGAGAGAAAGGGGGAATAGATAACAGGGTAGACAATTAGTACTGGAGCTCTGGTAGCATAGTGGCTAAGACACTTGCCTGCTAGCCAGACGGCTGGCAGTTCAAACCCACCAGCCACTCCTTGGAAGGAAGGTTGGGCAATCCTACTTCCGTAGTGATACTGCCTCGGAAACCCAAGGAGGGGTTGCTGTGAGTCGGGTTTGACTCAACGGCACATAACAACAACAACAACACAGCAATGTAAGTTTTATGACCCCGATTTTTCCAGCGAGTGTCACAATGAGATAGATACCTTGGCTTGAAAAGGGGCCTAACTTAGAAAGAGGGAAGGACTATGGGCAAAGAATCCGTTGAGAAGAATATAGCCCAGTGAACCACGTGCTACCAATTATGTCACTGAGCCTTACATCGTAGTCGTAAGAACATCATTGTCATCAACCCTGAACCCACATGTTGATTTGGAATGTCCTATTGGGGACCATGGGAGTGCATTTCTTTGGGAAAGAAAGGAGTGAGTTGCCACCTTTCTGCAGGGTCCCTTTTAGACATGATAGGCCATTCACAGGGACCTTCCAGATTTAGATGGCTGGAGCAGCTATGCTGGTCTCCCGAGGACAGACACCCCCGCCCCACTTTCACCCCAACTGACTAGGCCTTCAGTAGTTTTCCACTCACCAGTATTCTTTATCTCCTCCCCTTCAGAAAATCCAGCAGCTCTCGGAGGGCTCCATGTTTGGTCACGGCCTGAAGCACCTGTTTCATAGCCGCCGCCGGTCGCGGGAGAGGGAACAACACCAGGCGTCTCAGGATAGCCAGCAACATCACCAGGGCTTGTCTGACCATGACTCCCCAGATGAGAAGGAACGCTCCCCAGAGATGCACCGCGTCTCCTATGCCATGTCCCTGCATGACCTGCCTGCCCGGCCCACCGCTTTCAACCGCGTGCTGCAGCAGATCCGCTCCCGGCCTTCCATCAAGCGGGGCGCCAGCCTGCACAGCAGCAGTGGGGGCGGCAGCAGTGGGGGCAGCAGCCGGCGCACCAAGAGCAGCTCCCTGGAGCCCCAGCGTGGTAGTCCCCACCTGCTGCGCAAAGCCCCTCAGGACAGCAGCCTGGCTGCCATCCTCCACCAGCACCAGGGCCGCCCCCGCTCCTCTTCTACCACTGACACAGCCCTGCTGCTGGCCGACAGCGGCAACGTGTATCTGCTGGCTGAGGAGGCTGAGGGCATTGCAGATAAGGTAAGGCAGGCACGAGGAGGGTTTTCGGGGTAGGCAGCTACTTGGAGGCAAGAGCTATATGCTGAGGGACCTCCAGGCCTGAGGACTTGAACTGGGGTTCAGATGGGTGCTGACATCCTGCTGCCTGCAGTTATCAGCCCTGGTTGAAGGAGTCAGAGGTGTCACTAAGCTAAAAGCAAGAGCTAATTCCCAAAATGGCAAATTTGTATTTGTTGGTACAGGTCTGTTTTTCAAAATTATGTTTTGCTCAGGCTGCTGTTAATTTTAGTCTGTTTTCCTTCACATGCCATGAAGAGGCTGTGAGTATAGTGGTTAAAAGCACAGACTAGAGCCCAGCCTTGATTCTGCCATATACTAGCTGGATAAGTTACTTAACCTCTTTGTGCCTCAGTTTCCCAGACTGAAAATGGGAATAATAATAGTAGGGTTGCTGCAGGATTAAATGAGTTAATATATATAAGATACTTGGAACAGAGCCTGGCATGGTTTTGTTTTTATTATAACTACTATCCAGAGAAGATGGGGGAGGAATCCATGATTTTTGGTAAGGAAAAGAGCCAATTTGACAATTCATAAATGTATGTATTCATTCTTTTATTCTTATAGCAAACATCTACTGAGTATTTACTATTACAAGGAGCTCTGGTGGTGTAATGTGTAAGGCATTTGACTGCTAACCAGAAGGTTGATGGTTCAAACCCACCAGCCACTCCATGGAAGGAAGACTGGACAACCTACTTCCGTAAAGATTTACCACTTGGAAACCCAAAGGGGGTGGCTATGAGTTGGAATCAACTCGATGGCAATAAGTTTGGTTTTTTTGGTTTTATTTATTATTATAAGACTACATGAGCTGGGGTGGCTGTCCATTGTCTAGAGGGGGAGACAGATAGGTAAATGGACTAATTGCACACAATAGAATGATAGGGATTTTATAAATGTGTAGTGCCTAAGACATTTGACTGCTTAACCAGAAATTGGCAGTTCAAACTCACTAACCACTCCTTGGAAGGAAGATTGGGCAATCTATTTCTGTAGTGATACTGGTTCAAAAACCCAAGGAGGGATTGCTATGAGTCAGATTCAACTTGATGGCAGTGAGTTTGGGTTTTTTTGGTATGGGAGTTATGAGGAGAGTATGTAGTCCAGGGGGAGTGGGGAGGAGAAGTTGGGGAAGACCTTCTAGAGGAAGTCATTGAGATAAGTCTTAAAAGAGTATAATTTAGTCAATAAAGAGTGAGGTGGGATGTGGGGTGAATGGGTGGGGGGTTCATTGTGGTTGGAGCATACATTGTTTCTGGGGGCTGGTAGGTAGGCAGAAGCAAGATCACCCAAGGCCTTGCCATGGTATGTCTGGTGGGGGGTGGGAGGGCAGTGAAGCTATTGAAGGGTAACAGGTGGAAATTGGTGGGAGGGTATCTTTCCAGGACTCAATGGAGACAATAGATTGAAAGGTGAAAGAGGAGTCAAGGAAATCATTTTGAAGCTATGTAGTTGTCTGGGCTGTGGCAGTGAGAATGGGAAGAAGAGGACAAATTAAAAACACATTTAGAAGTTAGAATCAGTAATACTAGGTGGTGAATTAGAAATGGAAGACAAGGGAAGGGTAAGAAGGAAAGGAAGGGCTTCTGGCTCAGCAACTTCAAGTGTAAGATTATTTTCTGATGGAGGAATATTTAAGGAGGAGCAAGGTTTTTGGGGGGATGATGATGAGTTCGGTTTTGGACACGCTGAATTCCAGGTGTCCTTGGGAAGTATCCAGCTAGAGAAGAACAACTGGCAGTTGGATTTATGGGAGAGAGGACTAGGCTGGGGCTAGTGCTTTGGGAGTCAGCATCAAGGTTGCAATTGTGGGTATGGATGTGGTCTTCTAAGGGGCATGTGTTGAATGAGAAGGAGGCCAAGGGCAGATACAACATGCAAAGGACAGGCAAGCACAAGGGTCCTGAGTGGAGCAGCCACGTATGTAGGCATAAGCCTGGAGAGTGACCCTGAAGCAAAAAGGAATTTCAAGTAGGGGACGTAGTCAACAGTGTGAAATGTGGCAGAAGTGACAGGTAAGATCTGGATTTGGAAATAAACACAGTCAATACCAAGCTGTGAGGGTCATTGGTATCAGTGGCAAGGAACAAGTTTCAGTGCGTTGAGGAGTGGATGGGACAGCATGTGTAGCTGGGCTGGGAAAGAGAGAGGACTACAGAATGTAGTGTTCGTTTTTCAAAGAAGAGAGAGACCTGAGCAATCTCTGTGTTGACAGGATAGGGTCATGTGGAAGGAGGGATTGAAGACAGCGATGAGGAAGGGAATTTCTCATTGTGGTGAAGTCAGTGAATGGGTGAGAGGAGATGAGATCCAGAGGTCAGCATTGCTCTTGTCATGAAAAAGGTCACCTGCCAGTGATCTTCTACTCAGAGTGAATGGTGTGGATGGAAAAGCTACAGGTTAGGCGGTGATGGGACAGACATGAATTCTTACTTTATCCCCATTTTCTGTAAAGACAAAAAGGTAAGGCTGTTTATTGAGGGTAGCCAGAGAGGGGTGCCAGCTGGAGGAGGACAGTAAAGGTTTGGCTTGGGGAAGACAGAGGCTTTGAACAGGAAGACATGAGTGACTTGCCTGGTGTAGCGGAGGCTCCAGCTGAAGTGAGAGGCTCTGAATTTGTACTGGCAGCACCCCCAGTGGTTGTGATTTATTTTCTCTATAGTGGTCTTCCCTTCCAGTTGCCAGAGGATAGGAGCAAAGCTGAAAGGCTATCAGACTAATCTGGGATTGAGAGTTTGTTGGGTAGCTGTTAAAAGGTCATGGGTAACAAAGGAATTGGCGATTTGGGCCAGAGAGTGTTCAGAGGTTTTGACCTTGGAATCTTGGCTGGCAGAGAAGGAAGTAAAGATGGGAGAAAGCTGATAGATGTTGAGAAAAGGAGGCAGGAATACTGAGGGGTTGGGACAAGGCACATGAACAGTAAAAGGGAGAGAGATAGGCTGTTGGAGTTTAAGATTTTTGGGGTTGAGTAGGGGAGAAGAGAGTCAGTCATGGGAGGATGGCTGACATGGAATGAATTAAAAGATATTTTATTTTAGAAGGCAAGAGCTGAGCAGTTATGTTACTAGGTAAGTTGTCCAAGTAACATTGGAATCCCCCAACTGTTGGCAGGACTTACTAAGAGGAAGCCTAGGCACAGAGGCCAATGTGTTGGGGGATTAGGGATAAGGGGGTGGTCAGGAGGAAGGGCAGTGGTGGCTTTGATGAGTGTTGGGCAGAAGGTGGTAGAATGTGGCAGTAGAGACCTTACAGGAGGATGGGCTTGTTCATGAGAATGAAGGTGTGATGCTGCCAAAGCAACACTGAGGAAGTAGAATGCTGGTCCTGCCTCCAGATTGATGAAAGGATGAGGGGAGAGAGTAACTTGGACTTAAGGGGGCTGCCAGGGAAGAAGAGCTGCAATGGAAGCCTAGAGTGGGCCATATGCCCTTGGACTGGTGGAGTTCCAGACACCTTTGGGAAGAATCCAACCAGAGAGGACCAGCTCGCATGGGAGAAGGGTCTGGGCTGGGGTGGAACTTTGGAAGTCAGCACTGAGGTCGAACCATGAATGTGGATGTGATCCTGTAAGGTGCATATGTTGTGGGCAGGGGCTAACCTGTTTGTTGTGGAATGAAAGAGGAGAAGAGGTGAAGGAGAAAGAACCTGAGTGATTTGGAAATAAGAGTGGGAGAACCAGTAGACGACCAGAGTCATTTGGTGGCTAGGAGGCTGGTTGGGTGAATTTCCTGTGGCTGTCATAATAAAGGACCACCAACTGGAGGGCTTAAAACAACAGAAATGTATTTTCTCACAGTTCAGGAGGTTAGAAGTCTGAATTCAGGGTGTCAGGAGGACCGTGCTCTCTCCAAAGATTCTAGGGGAAGAAACTTCCTTGTCTGTCCCAGTTTATAGTGACCCCACCCCTTCCTCATCTATCTCTACCTCTGTCTTCACATGGCTGTCTTCTCTCTCTGTGTCTCTTCTCTTTTTATAAGGGCACCAGTCATCTTGGATTAGGGTCCACCCTATTCCAGTATGACCACATGTTAATGCAACTAATTATCTGCAAAGATTCATTTCCAAGTAAGGTGACATTCATGGGTACCCAGGATTACGACTTTGACATATCTTTTTGGGAGATACACTTAACCTGTAACAGTGGATTACCTAGGATAAAGTCTCCAAGAGCAATTCTGGTATCAAATGGTTTTTTGCCATAGATTGTCACCAAAACCAAACCAAATTCACTGCCATCAAGTCAATTCCAACTCATAGTGACCCTGTTAGACAGAGTAGAGTAGACTGCTCTACAAAATTTACAAGACCGTTAATCTTCATGGAAGCAGACTGCCTCATCTTTCTCCCAGAGTGGCGGAGAGCTTTGAACTGCTGACCCTTTTGGTTAGCCTCTGAATTCTTTTTTTTTTTTTTTTTTTTTAGGATTTGGGTGAAGATTTACAGAGTAAATTCACTTTTCATACAGCAGTTCACATATACTTTGTCTCATGTCATTGACCAAAATTTACAATGCAGCAGCTCCCCTCCCACTTCCTCCCCATAGTTACCTCCTCCCAATGTCCATCCCTTCATACTCAGCCTCTGAATTCTTTAAGTGCTCTTCTACCAGGGCTCTTTTAGGTTGTCACCAGAGCAGATAAACGTCCACATGAAAGATCTAGAGTTGTCCGCACATCAGTTCTGGAATGCTTTTGGAAGTTCATTTATTCAGCAAATATTTGTATGCATGCGATATGCCAGGCAGTGTCCAGCAGCTCATGTTTGTTTTGTACAACTAGTGCCTAAGGCATTTGACTGCTAACCAGAAAGCTGGCGGTTCAAACCCACCAGCCACTTCCTCAGAAGGAAGACTGGGCAATCTACTTCTGTAGAGATACTACCTTGGAAACCCAAGGAAGGGTTGCTATGACTCGAAATTGACTTGGTGGCAGTGAGTTTTTTAATTTATGAAGTGCTTT